AAAATGGCATGTCTTCTGGAACTAAATCATTAGTGAGTTCAGTTTTCATTTTCAAAATATTCAGAAAATGGCATCGATCTTGTTGTTGACTTGTTGGTATCCCATCTGGTCTGCGTTGAAGAATGAAAGCAATAATCATGGCTTTGCAAACATAATAGTCATTTATTGGCACATTGAAAGATGGAGATTCATTCAAAATATCATTCAAGATGGTTTGGAAAACTTAGGGGAGGGATATTATGTACTTCTTGTAGTTTACAATGTAGTTGTTCCTTTAGAAATAGAATACCTTAGGGTGGACCTGACCTTTTTTTTCCCTCTTGTATTCCTCTCTATATTAAAGGTTTAATTTTATGTTCTTAATAATCTCTTTATGGAGTGAAAATTAAATTTACATTTTTTTAATATCCCTTATGGTGCTTCCATGATGAAAAAGTTGCCCAACTGAGCCAAATTTTTAGAATTTGTCTCATGTGCGTTTTAATTAATTTCTTCCATTTAGTTTATTGTGTATGATCTTGTTATCCACTCTCTTTAACTGTAAATTGAAGGTTCAAAGCCTGCCAAAGACCTCATCTATGGCATTGATGAACCCTCAGTTATCAGGTCTGGCTCAGAATGGACAGCAGAGTATGATGCAGAACTCTCTTCAACACCATTGGCTGAAGCAAATACCATCAATGTCTGGTCCAGGATCACCATCCTTACAGCTTCAACAGCACCAGAGGCAATCACAGGTCCTTTTGCAGCAACAACTGGCTTCTTCTCCTCAGTTGCATCATAATTCTGTGGCTTTGAACCAACAGCATTTATCTCAGCTGATGCAACAGAAACAGGCACAAATGGGGCATCCTCAAATGCAGCAATCACAGCCTCAGCAGCAGCAACAACATCAGCAACAGCAACATCAACAGCTGCAACAGCAGCAACAGCAACAACAGCAGCAACAGAAACAACAGCAGCAACAGCAACAGCAACAGCAACAGCAACAACAACAACAACATCAACGACAACAACAACAACAACACATGCAAATGCAACAACCAATGTTACATCAGCAACAGCAGCAGCAGTCTCCTAGGAAGATAGGACCTGCAGGCCAGAAATCCCTAAGCTTGACAGGATCGCAGCCTGATGCAACTCAATCTGGTACAACCACTCCTGGGGGGAGTTCAAGCCAAGGAACTGAAGCAACTAATCAACTTCTTGGAAAAAGAAAGATACAGGATCTGGTTTCACAGGTCTTTCTTTTTTGTACTTTTATCTGTGTTCTATATTATTGTTGTTTCCAGTCATTTTTCCTCATTTCTTTTATGATAAAAGTTCCATATTTTCATCTTTGGCTGTGCTCAGGTGGATTCACAAGGACAGCTGGATCCAGAAGTTGAAGATCTGCTTTTGGAGTTTGCTGATGACTTCATTGATTCTGTAAGGCTGTCTCAGCTATTTATTCCTTTCTCCATTTGCGTATGTGTACATACCTTCAGAAACCTTAGAGAGATATTTCCCATCTCCCTCCAAAACTCTCAACCCCTCTTTCTCCTACCGCTCCTTATTTATTTCCTTTTTTAATGCCTTGCGGTGGATGGTTTAGAAGAAATTATGCTACAGATTGAAAAAAAAAAAAAAAAAGAAGAGAGGTATTGGGCTCATTTCCATAAGGTGCTTGTTGCCTTTTTTAGTGAGAGAGTGTTTTAGGGGATAGGTTATAATTGTATTGTTAAAAGACAGTTAAACAGGTGAAAAAATTTAAGGGTAACCATTTTCAGTTAGCATCTTATTTTCATTTCTGCAGTTTATGGTAAATCTTGGATTTCGGAATCATGGAGAAAATTAACAATTTAATTTTAAAGAGGAAGTTATTCCATTTGGCCTCTAATAAAAGTATTCCAAGTTCTGTGAGGAGCATCAGAAAGCAGGAAAAGATTATCAATTATAAGTTTTATACTTTTGCCTTTTATCCTTTCTAATTTAAAGTAAGTCACATGTAGCATTCATCACTTTGAGCAAAAGTTGCTTTCATTATTTATCTTGATTGTTACAACTTTTGGCATTTCGATCTATTTCCTGTTTGCCATTTGCTTTGATCAATTCTAATCTAAAATGGTGGTTAAGCTTTTGTAAAGACCTTATATGCAGTCATACTTGATGGTTGATATCCAGTTTCTCTCTTTAATAAATAATATTGTTCCTTATAATATGCCAGAAACTTTCAATTTAGTGCCACATCTTAAAAATTTTAACCTTCCCATGTAAAACACTAATACAGTTTTGCACAAAGCGTTGGCTGTGAATTTTAAGTTTCTTATTTTCCTCTAATATAAAGGCAGTCAAGCAGTCAGGAAGACTTTTGTATAACACCTTATGAAAATATATGTCTAGAACTGGAAGTTACAGGTTTAAAATATTTACTAGCAGAACCTTTTTACTTTATTTGTTAATTTTTGTCTTTCCTGTGGAATTTGACTTCTTGCAATGAGTACATTGACCTTTTTGTGTATCATTGATTGTTCTGCCTTTCTCTCCTAGGTGGTTTTGCTAGAGACTTTGTAATGATTTTCCTGGTGGAAACTTATGTTGTTTTACCCCTTTCAGGTAACTTCTTTTGCATGCACTCTGGCAAAGCATCGTAAATCATCAACATTGGAGTCCAAAGATCTATTGCTACATTTAGGTATGCTCTGCATAGTTAGGGCTTTACTTGTGATTGATCGGATCTGCATTAACCTATGGAAATCAGTCCTGGTTTGTCTCTTTTTCTTTTTTACAATTCTGAATTTCAGTCCATTGCAGAATAAATCATGTATGTCTGCTTTCATTCCCTTGATTTCTTCATTCATTCATTTTTTTTTTTTTAAAAAATTGTTGAGCTTGTCATTTTCTAGGATGTTACCTTATCTCACTATTTTCTGCCTTTAGAGAAACAGTACTGCTGCTGGAGCAGCCTCTGTACTGTTTTCCATTTTTTCGGAAAGGTTAGGTTAAGAGATGATTATTAACAATTATACAAAAGGGGGTGGGCGGCTTTTGTCACTCTGTTACCTAAATTGGGGCATAAATCATTGGATAAAATTTTCTGAATGTCTGTTATATTAGATGTTACTAATAAGAATGAGATACCTATTCCTCTTTCCTACTGTTCAATCTGTGCTTGCTCCTATTCATTTAGCATGCGATGAGAAGAAATATCAGGTTTGTTTCATCATCATTCTCCCTTACGATATGCATCTTTTTCATCATTATACAGCTCTAAGGATATGGCTGTGAACCATAACCATAAATGAATGTATCCCATTTGGTTTGTAAATTGGAAATATAGGCTCAAAATGGATTCAAATGCAACCCCATCTTTACAGCACTAGAAAATTGTTTCTATTGAATTAAGCTGGAAAATTTACCAAAATTAATAACAAGGCTCGGTATAATTTTTTGTCTATTTGCTTCTTTCCATGAATTGCCGATTGCATTCTTTCTTATCTTTCACATATAATGCATTCATTCAGAATCAGTAACACAGTGCTCAAGAAACTTGTAGATGCAAGAGTTCTGGCAGGATAGATTTTTCTTGAATTCTATTTGAAGCCTCAAAGCCTTAATGTGTCTCATATATGCATGTGCAGAGAAAAACTGGCATCTGACTATTCCAGGATATTCAAGTGAAGAGCACAACCAAACAAAATCTGTAAGAATTTCAATTTTCCCTTTCAATAATTTAGTGCAGGGTATGCTTTTTAACTCTAGTTCTATATATTAGGATTTGAACTACAGAGGAAATATGGGCGCAATAGTATGAATTAGCTAATGCTAATTTAAATTTTAAATTTCTTCTTGATATTGATGGATACTTATGTGATGTGTATAATATATAGATTAAATCTTAAGTAACAATCTGATAAAATGATTTTTGATATCCTGAGTTTAAATTTTGCAGTTACCAAGTGATCTCCACAAGAAGCGTCTTGACATGGTGAGTTGATGCTCAGTGCAACTATAAATATTTGATCTATATCCTCCGCTTATGAATCATTAAATCCTCTTTATTCTATGAAACCTACTTTGCTAGGTACGCGCATTGATGGAATCATCTCAATCTGAAATAAATGCGAATGGTCTGAAGGATGTAACTAGATCTGGACTTGTAAATCCAGTTGGTTCTAACCACTTCCTGAGACCTTCATCCAGCTCCGAGCAGTTGGTTTCGCAGGCTCCTGGTTCGCAAATACTGCAACAAATGACACGTTAATGGATGTAAGATTCCCAGTTCATTTCTTGGTCCGACGCAGATTGCATATGGCTCTGTGGACCTTGTTGGTAAGTAAGATCAATCAACTATAAAGTTATTAAAATTATTGGTCCCTGCCCTTTTGTTCTGTCTAATTCTACTGTTTATTCGCCCTTACGCTTCTGTTATGTCTAATTCTACTGTAAATCCGCTAGCAGGTTGGATTAACTGACGCTTAAAGCTGTATGTGGATTGAGGAAAGCACACAAACTGTGGTTAGTCGGTAAGTATCGAAAGACATTAAACAGTTTGTGAAAGCATCACAGCAATCAACCATCTAATTTATTGTTTTTCTGTTAATGATTTATGTTTATAAATTAATGAGCTCCCGCATAAAGTGAGTCTGAGTCCTAGGTTATAAGCTCACCTGCCTTGGTTTGTTGGTCTGGGGAAGGTACTGTATTTTTATTTATCTGAAAATTATGTTTTCCTACATATAATTTGTATTTTATTACAAACTGCTTTGTTGATGTCATGTAAGCACATTGATCAATGATTTAGAAGCTATTTATTACAAACTGCTCTGTTGATGTAATGTAAGCACATTAAACAATGTTTAGAAGCTATTTTTTCCTTTTAAAAGAATAGTCCATATTGAGATTTTTTTTTTTTAATTCTAGGTTGTATGATAAAAGATAATAATAATTTTTTACTCTTTAACTTATTTTATTCACATATCATTCAACTCAAAATTAAAATCTCATTTTTTTCATTAAATATTAGAGTTATTTTTATAATTGAAATGCGTATTAATAATTAGGATTGGACAAATAGTCAGTTAACCAAATGGTTAATCATTAAAAAATTAACTAAATGATTAGATATAAATGGTTATTGTTTTTTTTTTTTCTTTTTTAATTTTAGTTGGATAACCAAAAAAATTTGATTGGCTAATGGTTAAAGGGTTAAAATTTAAAATTGAATATATAACTAAAAAATAAAATTTT